ACTTTCAGACGCCTGGCAACTCTTGTCCTTGCTTCTGAAGCTTATTCGGCCTTGTCAAACTTGGTACTGGATTTCAAGCACGTGGCCCTCCAAGTGCTGAACCAGTGCATTTTTGTTCGAACGCGTTGAAGAACTCCTACCCCAACGATGGCTTCTACAGCCAATAAAGTCGGCCACAGCCTGGCAAAGGTCTTAGGCATCGACCTGCACTACCGGAACGAAACTGGCTCAGAGCGCGTAACACGAGGCGAAAGTGTTTTCACCATCGACTCCGCAGATACATATGTTGAGGATGAACCTACTGCGAAAGAATGGATTCAAGACACTCTTCCCAGTGGACCCGAGTTCAGAGAATATTGCTACAGCTTGTTTCCGTTCCTTCATTGGATAGGTCGCTACAACGTACAATGGTTAATAGGTGACCTTGTCGCTGGTATGTCAAGCTATAGTTTGATTGTTTTGTATAGCTACTAACTTTCGCCAGGTATCACCGTGGGTGCTGTTGTCGTTCCCCAAGGTATGGCCTACGCAAAGCTTGCTGAGCTTCCTGTCGAATTCGGATTGTACTCTTCGTTCATGGGCGTACTCATCTACTGGTTCTTCGCTACCTCCAAAGACATCACCATTGGACCCGTCGCAGTTCTATCCACAGTCACTGGCGGTGTTGTGCTGTCAGCGGAAGAGAAATTAGCCGGTCAGGGTATCTCACGAGACATGATCGCATCCTCGTTGGCCATCATCGCCGGATCAATCGTTCTCTTCTTGGGTCTTGTCCGCATGGGCTGGATTGTGGATCTCATCTCGTTGCCTGCAATCTCAGCGTTCATGACTGGTTCTGCGCTCAGTATCGCTGCTGGACAGTTTCCAACCATGATGGGTATCACAGGTTTCTCGACTAGGGATCCCACATACAAAGTGGTGATCAACTCGCTCAAGTACCTTGGACGAACTAACCTTAACGCATCATTCGGCTTGACTTGCCTCTTCCTTCTCTATGCGATCCGTTTCACATGCGGCCAGCTCGCAAAGCGATTCCCTACCCGTGCGAAGCTGTTCTTCTTCATCAACACTCTGCGAACGGTGTTTGTTATTTTGCTGTACATTCTGTTCAGTTACCTAGCAAACCGAGAGCACAAAGCCAACGGAACTAAGCCAATTATTACCACTCTTGGAACTGTTCCGCGAGGTAAGATGCTTCTTAATCTTGATCAGATCCATTACTTACAACTTCAGGATTCCAACACGCTCGCGTACCCAAGGTCACAATTCCCATAATCAAGTCGTTCGCCACCGAATTACCGTCTACTGTCATCGTCCTCCTCATCGAGCACATCTCCATTGCCAAGTCGTTCGGACGAGTGAACAACTACGTCATCAACCCATCGCAAGAGCTCGTGGCCATCGGCGTGTCCAACTGCTTGGGACCCTTCTTAGGAGCATACCCCGCAACTGGTTCTTTCTCTCGCACTGCCATCAAGTCTAAGGCTGGAGTCCGCACGCCTTTCGCAGGTGTCATTACGGCCATCGTAGTGCTTCTCGCTATCTACGCACTTCCGGCTATGTTTTGGTACATTCCCAACGCGGCACTATCGGCAGTCATTATCCACGCAGTGCTTGACTTGATCACACCACCAAACACCGTGTACCAATTCTGGAGGATCTCACCACTTGAGGTCATCATATTCTTCATTGGTGTTCTGGTTACAGTCTTTTCCAGCATCGAAAATGGTATTTACGTTACAGTGTCCGTATCGGCAGGCATGTTCGCTTTCCGTCTGTTCAAAGCCAAGGGTCGTTTTATGGGCAGAGCCAAGATTCACTCCGTTATCGGCGACCATCTGTTGGACCCGCATGAGGAAGACAAAATGCCATCGCCCGGTTTCAAGCAGAAGCCAGCAGAGGGAGAGCACTCCATCCGTGAAGTCTTCTTGCCTATTGATCACAAGGATGGATCCAATCCAAGCATCCAGCTGGAGGATCCTTACCCAGGTATCTTCATCTACCGATTTAGCGAAGGCTTCAATTATCCAAACGCAAACCACTACCTCGACCAACTCACCGACATCATATTTGCAAAGACGCGTCGTACAAACCAAGCGACGTACAACAGACCCGGCGACCGCCCATGGAACGACCCTGGCCCTCGTGGAAAGGAGGCCCAAGCACAAGACGATCGGCCTACGCTGAAAGCCATCATCCTCGATTTCTCATCTGTCAACAACGTCGATCTTACTTCAATCCAGAACCTGATTGATGTAAGGAATCAGCTTGACAAGTATGCGGCTCCAGACACAGTTGATTGGCATTTCTGCAACATCAACAACCGGTGGACCAAGCGCTCTCTTGCTGCAGCGGGTTTCGGTTACTACACTCCTGAGACGCCTGACAGCGGCATAACGCACCGCTGGAAACCCATCTTCAGTGTTGCCGAGATCGGCGGTTCAGACTCGGCTGCTGCGCAAGCAGAAGCACGCGAGAACCTCCTCGCTCAACGCGCACTATCGCAAGTACGAAGTCACGATATCGAGGCAGCACATCCAGAATCGGGTGACAGTTCGGAGACCGGTAGCATAACAAAGCAGTTGGAACACAGCAAGGCGTACGGACATGTGGAGGCTGGTGATGCTAGGCAGAGGGGCCGGATAGCGGTTGTTCAAGGGCTGAACAGGCCGCTGTTCCATGTCGACGTAACGGCTGCGCTCAACAGCGCGTTGGCTAATGCGCAGAGAAAGAGTCACTAGATAATTTTGTGGTCTTTCGGTAGTGGTAATGCGGCTTTCTTTCAGTATATATATATATTGTCAGTACATAGAGATGATATCTATTTGCGCTCGGCTGATGGCCTAGAGTGTGTTTTTCGCGTTCAAAAACTAGTTTTATCATTTGCATGCATCGTGATGCAGGTGCGCAGTCTATTGATGGATGCCTAAGGTGCTGTTGCAGAGTTAGCATTCACATTCAAGCTCGTTACGATCATAAATGTGAGAAAGCTTAGTAGAAGATGGTTTTGACATTGTCATTCTATATAGACGATACTCGTGCTTCTGCCACGTGGGTATATGTACCGCATCATGCTCCATATACAAAAGAATCAACGCCGTGCTATGCCCCGCCCTGAATCATTTTCTTAGCCTCGCTCCGTACAGTGAAAGAAAAGTCTCGCTCCTTGTAGTAATTTCCGGGTGCTAGCCAGAGAGTGTCTGCGCATACTTGAAAGACCCGCTCTCTGCCATGCATATGTCCATGTCCCTGCTCCCTGGATTCCCGTTGCTAGGTGTCTGATGCCGCAAACATCTAGTTGTACGCTTCAGCTGGCAAAGACTCTCGACTTTGTGCGAAGAGAGCGCCTGCTTGCTCGATGTTCCACTGGCCAGCCTCCAGACATTGAATGGCGTAGTCGCGCTTGAGGTTGGTTTCGCGCTGAACATAGAGGATCATCTCTTCTTTCCTTTGCTGCTCCGGGTCGATAGTCGTTGGTATAGGTGTTGGTGTGGTGGATGGTGGTATTTGCTGTGCGTTTGCTGCATTGTTGTTTGCCACTGCTGCGTCAGGACGAACCTGATTGCCATTCAAAATTTTGAGTTTAGGAAACCAAGAGATGATCTCATCCTCCCAGTTGGGTGTTGGGAACGGGTCGACAATGAGGTGTTCGACGTTCCTGAAGCGGCCTTTCCAAGGCTTTAGCGCGTCCAGCGTCGCAAAAGCGTTGTTGCTGAGATCAAGGTTCTGGATGTGGCGGAAATGATTGCAGAGTTGGTAAACAGCGTGTGTATTTTGGAGGTTATTGCCGGCGAGTGTGACGCTGTGGATTGCTTGCTCTTTTGCTTCTAGCGTCTCAAGAATGGCATCGCAAACGATCATGAGGGCAGGGAAGAACTTCTTCTGTGCACCTTCTGAGGCAAACATGCCAGATTGGAGGATCTCTTGATCTCCAGCAATAGTCGAGAGGTTTAGTAATTTGTTGGCTGCATCGTAACGTCGTCCGAGGAAGCCTTCCATAAGCGCGTAGGATGGATTCGATTTCAGCTTTGCAAGCATGTCTTTGTCGACTAACGGTTCTCGTGAACGGTTTTCATGCTGGAAATTGTTTGGACCGCCCCTGAATCCTCCTCTTCCTCGTCCCCTTCCTCTGCCTCGTCCACGTGAGGAGTCACCATCAAGCATCATCTGATCGTCATCGTGGTTTTGTGGTGTGAAAGAAACGCTCCAGTTCCCGCGTCCTCGACCCCGACCCCGCCCCCGTCCGCCTCTTGGTTGATCGTTCATTCTTAATCGGAGTACGTTGGTTGTGCTGTTGTAGAAGTGTAAGTGAGCAAGGCCGAGAAGCTGAAACCGTCTATAAAGATCGAGGGTCCGTGCGCCGCCAAGCCACGTTTTCTCGCCCTCTGGCAATCGTCATTGGTCTGACGTCGAAGGTTCCGTGGATCGTGACTGCGGTTTACTGTTGTCGTGTCTTTACCTACACCTATTATTTTGCGCAGATAAACTCTGCCTGATCATTGGTTGCTTGACTCTGGATCCACACAACAGCGGCCTCACACTTTCGCCCTTCGTAGCGTAGCTAGGCAGCAAGGCAACTAGGCAGCCACTGTGATGACAGCCTGAAGAAACTCACCCTGACCAGCACTAGACTCGCTACATACCACACTCCATAGTTCTTAAAACAAAGGCATCTAGGTACCGTTAACCAGAAGGTGATAGCAGAAGTAACATGATAGAAGGCAGGACGACTGGTTCATAGTATGACTGAAGGCAATGTTCGCGTAAATAGGCGTTTCTTGTCAGATATTCGACCTAGATAATACAAGGTTTGTTCGGGGAGAATTTCCATCCTTCTACACCTCTCCATACCCACGCCGCCCACGTCACTCTACCAGATACGTAAAGATGAGTCAAGTCTTTCCAGAGATAGCCTGCGACGCCCAAAACTCCGAACACGAACGCGCGTAAATGCAACAATGAGAGGGTCCATAGAAAGACCTTGAGGGGAAAATAGCCATCTACTGTGAATGGATTTTCTTAATCCTGTTCACACCCTCATACAGTGCCCGGTCCACGGCTGCAGCGACGGTGAGAGTACCACCAATTACGGCGCAGAGACCGACGAGGAAGCCAGAGAAAGTCTTCTCGCGGACTTCGCGGTTTATGACCTTCATTGGTGAAATGTCCTGTGGCAGATATTAGTGATCGGATTCAGGGGTCAAGGGAAGGGAACCGCAAAACTCACATAAGAGAAGAAAACGCCGGGAATACCTCCCCTGGCGTGGATTCTTTCCTTGTGACCCTCCTTCTCATCAGTACCACCCTGGAGACTCCTATGATGACTAGTAACAGAGTACTGGTGCGTCTCAATACTGCCCTTATATGTAGCATCAATCGTGGCGCCGAGCAGCTCATCTTGTTTACCGGGACGACTAATCTCCTTCTCCCAGCCGAGAGGCAGGTAAGCGGTCGACACGACCTTGATGAAGTACATGTAGTTGTATGCCTTCTCGTCGGTGTGCTGCTCGGTGTCATCGAGAGGATTGATGTGGTGGTTCGACCATCCACCGGCGGCTGAGCCTTGGTGTTTCCTCTGCATGTCTTGGACGACCACATCGCTGAGCTGAGGGCCAAAGCGAAGCTGGTGGACCCGATGGGTAAAGGTGTGCGCGTACTCATCCTTGAAGTAGTTCTCGAGATCGTGGACGTGCAGGTTGCCGTTGGAGAAGGACTTTCCAGGAGCAATGTGGAAGTTTCCGACGACCTTGTTGACACGGATACTGCCCTCAAGACGACATCCTTCCTGGCGTTGTTGATCGAGATGTTCGGCGTAGTGCTCTCTCTCGCATTGTTCGACTCCCTCTCCACGGCCAAAGGACCATGAGATTGAGGCATAAGCATCGCGGACTTCGTCGCAGGTGTTGCAACAGCCAGGTTTGATTGCGTTGGTGGGGGAAGGGGCGCCGTAACATTCGCCGCAGTAGTCGGGGGCCAGATGTGACGCTTCGTCAGCGTGCCTGAAGTCACTATCAGCACTCTGTTGCTTCTTGGACATGCTCCTCTATCCAAAGCACTCTATAGACTTACAGATCCAAAGCCTTGATGTCGATAACTTTGCTACCCTCCTTCTCAGGACTTAGTCGAACCTTGTTGATACCGTGCGTGACGCCCATTTGCAACTCGCCAGATACATCCATGACATCGAGAGTGAGTAGTTCGCATGGCACTCTTGGAAACGTTACGTTCAGGGCGATCTCCATGCGTTCGCCTCTGCCCTTATCGACCACCAATTCTGGCCGTACCGTTACTCTCCTGTAATCGGCCCACTCGCCCCACGTTAACCAAAAGACAACCAACAAGCTGACTATGGTGACAACCCCACCGGATGTTGTGCGCACGCGCGCATCTTCGACCGTCTTGGTAAAGGCATCGAGCCTCGTGAATCGCGATTTCGCGGGCATGTTGACGGGCTACCACTGTAAAGTAGTTGAGATTGTGGGGTATTGCTACGACGAATTGTACGTTCTACCAGCGTGCTCTGCGATAGAAAGGGAGTCTCAAGGTAAGACGGCGGGGGTTGCAACCGAAAGTCGTTCGGGATATGGTAGGAGCTCGTGCCTGGAACGTGGAACCAAGTTCACGCGCACTGCAAACGCGATTGGCGTTGCTTCTGGGCAACGAAGAGAGTGAATGAATGAATGTTAGCACAATTCGTGCCAAAGCCGCACTATCATTGTACGAAGAAGGGAAATGGTGAGCAAGTTCAACGCGTGGACGCGGCAACGCTCCGGCTGAAACTAAAAGGACAGCTAACAGCATCTTGCGACCGAACACTAGCTCCGAGCGCTGCGCCGCGCTAGCGTGCTTCTGGTAGGTGCGCATTCCGAGCACGTGGGTGCATTGTGCCGCCAACACCAGGACCTGATTAGCACATATGGGAGAATGTTTTCAACATAACTGCACAGTGGCTCGAAATAATTTCATTAGGTCTTGGAAGCGGTGACCAGAGTGCTCTATCATAACGCTGTTCGAGGGCGATCCGATCGGCGCTCTGCAACCACAGAAGCATATAAATAGCCTATGAAGCGAGAACGTTCCTGAGCATGCTGTTGAAACCCTCGCTGAGCTTGTACAGCTCCACGATCGCCGGCTTTTTGGGTTCGCCAGCCTTTCTCCTAAGCTTCTCAGCAGCGCGCGCTCGGCTCTTGCGCTCGGCTTCGATTGGATCTGCTACATCTGTGTCGTCCATGTCTTCTGAGTCGGTCGAGTCGCTACCATCATCATCGAGTTCAAGGTCTTGAAGATCCATCTGTATCCACATCAGTACATGAATACAATGTTGTCAGAGCAAGAAACGTACCGCATTGAGTCCAAAGTCACTCGACTTGAAGCCAGCAATACCGCCCATAAGCGGGTCAGGATCGTCACCACCACTCGCCATCTTCTGTCTGGTCTTGTCTGAATGCCACTTCTTCCGCGCCATTTGCCACTTGATGAGACTGTTGATCTCGCGAATCGCCTTGTTCTTGTCGATCAAGTTTGAATCCATACCACCCTGGAAGAGTGCATTCATGTCGAGCTTACCGCCACTTCCAGGCCCATGGCGTAGGAAATCCAATATACCCTCTAACCAGCCCATGAGCTGGTCAAAAAGACCATTGTCGTGTTTGTGGACCTCGTGAACGAACTTGTAGAAGTTACCCTCGTGACGAGCGCACAGATCGATAAAAGCTTGCACGGTTTGATTGGGGTCTGCAGAAACTTCTTGCCGTTGGCAAGCTTCAATTGTCTTAATGGTGTCATCGGCGAACATGGCAAAATCAGTAATACTGTTGTATACGTTCGCGGACTTGTAGACACGGACAAGCGGCTCGTAGAAAATGGTGAATAGATCTCGGAAGAGTTGGAGAGTCGTGGGCTAGAGAAACGTCAGTCATTCGTTCCAGATATCGCTCTCCTTTCCAGCTTACCTCTTCGATGATTTGTAACATCATCAACTTATCTCTTTGTCTTAGGCAGAGCTTCAAGTACTGTTTCAGGTGCGCGAAGAGCTCAGCGCCTGATCGCATCTCCTTTTCGACCTGGCCGGTCGCGTTAGTTGCTGTACTGACATTGCTGCGGCTGCTAGCTGTTCTACTGAGGCGGCGCGATCTCACATTTTCGACCGCGTTGTTCCATGCAACGTAGGCATTGAAAACCTTCTCCACCTGTTGCGAAGATAACTCTGGTTGGAAAAACTCGGAACGTAGTATAGTCACCACCACATCGACGTTATCGCGCGCAGCTTCCTGTCGTATCGCTTCCTTAACGCCCTCGTCTGCTTGTACGTATGCTTTGATCTTGTCGCAAAGCACGTCATCCTTGATCCTGGTAGAACCGAGTGTATCGATTGTCTTCTGCACAGAGTTGACACCATCATTGATGGCCATACCAAATATACGTTGAAGTAATGATCGAGCACCGAACGGTTGGGCAAGGAACAGATCCAGGACTCCACTCATGACTGCGGCAGGGTTGGCTATCCTAATGACGTTCTTGAGGACACCGTATGGAACGAGAGAGTGTATGCGCTTCGCTTGAGCAAATAGCTCGGGGGAGTTGTCTTCCGCTAGGAACAAATGGTAGATGGTAGCAGCCACTTCTATCCGTAACCACTCTGCGAACTTTTGGTACTCTGGCTTGAGCTCTGCGATCGTGTTCTTGACCCTGATCTCCTGGAACAGGTGGGAGAGTCCATTGGCTTCTACAATCTCTCTCCTGAACTTCTCCATGTGGATATCAAGCTCCGCTGCTCGCTTGCGCGCAACTTCGTAGAACTGCCTTTGCTCTTCTATGCGCTTCTTGTCCATCTCTTCTCGCCTTTGAATGTCTTCCATCTCCTCCTCGTTGACCTCTATGGGATCGCGTGTCAGAAATTCGGCCATGGCACTCGATTGGGCAATGCGCTCATTGTGTAGAAACGATCGGAGGAAGGCACGTAGAGAAACACGTTGCTCTTCCCTGTATAGTTTCCGAGGGGCCTTGTACGCCGAGTAGTCCGTCGAAGCCCTTGGCGAGCGTCTTCCTAGCGATGTTTGTGAGGCGTTTTTCTTGTGTCCACTACCAAAGATATAGCTGCGCAGACCACCACCGCCACTATTCTCAGGTTCAGGAGGAGGTGGCCCTTGGGTAGATCCCGACGAGATAGAGCTTACATCATCGTCATCAACACTTGATTGTAGAAGCCCATCTTTTGCGTTCTTTCGAGGTAACGGGGCGAGTACTTTGCCGGGAAGTTCGAGACGTATGCGCTTGTGTAATTGGACGAAGTCTGCGTATCGACGGCCAATATAGAAATCTTTGTCTCCATCGTGCTTTACTCGTATGAGGTACTCCTGCAAATGCAACGTTAGACTCTGTCCGTTTTCAACTTGCATCTCTACTTGCCGCATGTGTGTGGTACCGGAGATGTCTCTTCACGGAGGTTGTCCTGACACCTGAGACATTGACGTCCCAACCGTTGATAGAGTGGCCGCTCGGCGTGTTCATGGTAAGTCCCTTCTCGTCCGCTTGTCTATCTACGATTTCCATTTCGGCGAAGCGTATTCTTTCTTCGTAACCTGACGCGGTAGGGATACCAGATACCATCATTAGCTCGACCAATTTCTCGGCTTTGAGCGCCAACTTTCTTCTTTTGGTCTCTTCCAGCCGATCTTCCGAGGATGAGATGTCTTTGCTCGCAAAGGACTCCAGAAACTAGAACAGCACCCTTGTCAGTTGCATCTCTACCTAGTATGACCTCATACAACGTACAACTTGGAGTTTGTCCTGCCAGAACTCCTTCTCCTTGGCCTTGTCCAGGAAGGGGAAGTTGCGAACATGGTTTACGAATATGTAGCGGAGGAGGGGCAGTTCTGAGTCTTCTGGCGCAACTTCGCCGGCATCTGAGCGAAAGGGCGCGCCAAAACGTCGCAGCGCTGTAGGAGAGGAGAGTTCGGCGATTTCGTACTTGGTTTGCTGGGAGATGAGTTCGCGCTTGAGATCTGCGCATCTATCAGTATGGCCAAGGGCCCAGGGATGATGATGTATTGCTTACAGTGCTCTTGTTTGCCCGTTAATATAGACCCTTCCGGCGGCACGGACACGGTAGAGAACTTGGAAAAGGTCGTGTCATTGCGCGTGGGCACCGCAGGCCGCGCCGGCTCGCCAAAGTTCTGTACTGAGGGCTGGGGATTCATCGTGGTGGGCTCGGTAGCACCGTTGAGCTGAATGGCGGGCGGGGCGTCGAGGTTGGCGGGCATACTTGAATTAATAGCAACGTAAGAACACGGGCTAGGGAGCCGCGAGCCGAAAGAAGGAAGATAGGGTGTAGAATTAGAAGGAAAAGCGAAAAGCAGCCTTTAGGGTCCCTGCAGATGAGCGTCGACGCGTGTTGTATGACGCCGGAATAGCACCTCGTACTGCCTGTGGCTGCGCCTGAGGCTGGTGCCCTGCGGAGATGCGGGCACGACAGCAAGGACAAGAGATACGATGGGGCTGCACCGCCCGTTCCTCTGCTCAAAGTGGATCACCTCAATGCTTGTCGGCACTGAAGCAGAGTCGGGCGCGTAAAGGATTGTGGCTGAGTGACGCAACCCGATGCCTTAGCCCATGACGCAGAGGCCCACGAGGCCGAACGCAGGAAGGAACGGCATCGCATCTCTTGGCCGTGTTCGCGCTTTGTCTCCCATCTCGTTTCCTTAATACGCGCGCCGTATGCTGTGAACGTATACGAGACAACCAAGTTGGACAGACAGATCACCCCTCCTCGGGACGGCGCGTAAGATTCGGATATAATTTGAATCGGACCGCTTCGGCTCGCTTCAACTCACAAACATCGCATCGCAGCATCATGCATCGCTTACAGACGTCCACTTGGCGCACTGTCACTAATACCTAGCAAGGAAACCTGACGTCGAACACGTTCTGGCCACGGGCCAAGATGGCCGATTTACTGACTAGTCACAATCTCACATTAGAAGAACATGCTCGACCCTGTGGTTTTGAACTGCAATTTGGTTAAGTTCTATATCTGCCTAGTTGTACAAGATACAGGCCCATGGGTAAATGTCTCTTCATGCCAATCAATGGCAAGAGTTATCCTGGGACGCCGACCTACTCCATTCCCAAATTGCTGCCGAGGTATTCTGTGGCATTTCGGCAACAAGAGAAATCAAGTTATCCACCCTAACGCCAATCCACTGAACATCTTACACTACAGCCACCCATGCTTTGCAAGTTTGAGACTCAGTAGTTGAGCTCTCCGCTGCCACCCCCACCAACCGCGTCCAAATCCTCGTAGCTCTTGATGGACCGACCTTGCACAGATTGTACAGGGCCAGGTCCGCCCTCACCGTATCGCTGAGGACCCTGACGGCTACCACGGGGCGGGGGTGTCAGCCGGCCACCGTTGACAGCAGGACGAGGACGACCATCACGAGGTTGGCGATCGTAGGGTCCAGTACGGCTGTTGAAGCGGTGGCCGCCCCGTCGCATGGGGCCGGCGCGGTCGTCGTGGGCAGCATTGGGGTCCCAGGTGCCGCCCATAGCAGGATTAAACATGGCGCCTAGGTGCACCCCATTCTGCATGCCATTGTTTGCCATTGCCATGTTCATGTTGGCCAGGTTGAACCCCCGCGGCGTTCCAGTAGCCTGGACATGGTTGCCCATTGGGAAGTGACCATTACTATTGGCATCACTACGCGATGGAGCAATATGAGCAGGGTCGACAACATAGCTGTTAACCAGTCGTAGCTGTATCAGGTTAGTAAGGAAGATTTTCCTAATGTTTCACGTCAATACTCACATCCTTACGCAATTTTTCGAGCCACTCAGGATGACGCTTCTCAACGTGCTTTTGCCAGAAATGCTGGCCCTTGAACAGCTTTGTGCACTCCGGGACCTTACAGCGCCACTTGGATTCGTCCTCTTGTTTGACATAGCGGGAGAGTTCGTCCTCGATGGCCTCCTCCAGAGGTTTGCCACCGAGCTTGCGGATGTCAACATTCTCTGGCTCAAGCAGCTGCAACAGCTTCTCTTCATAGGTTTTAACCCAGTTGAAAGCGCGCTGGAGTTGTTGTTGGTTCTTCGTGCTCAGCCGCATAGGCTTCCGCTCTTGCACTGGGCTACCACCCTCACCATTCTCAGCATCACCAGAAGACTCTTGCTTCCTGTACGGAAATAGATCTCCGGTAGCTGTGGCTCTCGCAGTCGCCTTGGCAGCAGTTGTAAGGCTGGCGCGTGGTCGACGAAGATGACCTCCAGCGCACTTGCGAATCAACTCGTGAACTGAATCACTCTCAAAAACACAGAAGAAACAGAAGTTGTAGACTCGTCGCAGGTACTCGATGAGAAGATCAAGCTTCTTCTTCTTGGCCAGCAACTCTTCGTCATCCACTTCATCATCGAAGGCGCCCTCGTCGTCTTCCATGGTCTCATCCTCACCCTCTTCCAAGTCCTCGGGATCGCGCGCTTTCTGGGCAGGAACCGGGGCATTGGCTGGGGGCTGCAGCCAGCCTTTCGACCGCAGAGCTTCAACCCGCTGTTCAATCTTGCTGACACCATCGACGTTAGCAAAGTCTTCCTCGTGCTGCGCCTTGAGATCAGAGTCGAGCTTCCTAACAAGTCGTTCGGCAAGCTCGAGATCACGCTCAATCCTCTCAGGCGCAGAGAAGAGGTCCCACAATGCCTTTTTGCGCGGCGCAGCAGGCGGCTCATGGATACCAACGTGGCAGGTGAAGTTGCCCCGTTGATCATCAATGACTGTTTTCCCGTTGAGAGCTTCGAGAGCCTTGTGAGCGGTTGTATGGGGACCCTGCGTATCTTCAGATTTGTCCTCGACAGTACCGTCTTCAGCCTCCTCGTCACGTCCGTCACCACGGTCGTCAATGACCATTGGCTGCTCATCGCTTGGGTTGAGAATGACCCAACCAATGCGGTGGCATTTTTTAAGTGGATTGGGGTCACTCATGCTCAGCCACTTGAAGCCGCCAGGGCCTTCTCCCAGGTGTTCCTTACAGAACTCTTCGACCTTCTCGCGATTGACGGTAGGCGCGATTGTTTTGATGAGTAGCGTAGGCTGGAACGCGGTCTCATCGCGGATCTCGCCGCCTTTGCAAGGCAACAAATCACCTACGCCCAAGACCTCGTTGGCAGCCGTTGCTTCGCCCTCCTCTTTCTCAACGATTCCGCCGGCACCGTTCGACTCATTCTTGTAGATGCCTTCCAACGTGAATTCATCAAAGTAGCCCTCATCTATCTGTCGCTCCCACTCCTCGTAGATGCCATGGCGATATTGACGAAGCTTCTCTTTGAAAGCCAGATCATAGTCTGGGTCATAACGTTCCTTGAACCACTCTTCGTTCTTATGCTTGTCCACAAACGTCTTCGCCATCTGTACCTGCAGTTTCTCCTTGTACTCGTCATATGCGGCTTGAATCTGCTCGCGCTCTTTGCCACGTTCCTCTCGGGCTTCACGTTCCCCTTTGAGACCAGGCTTGCGTCCGCCGTTCTTCGCGCGCTCCTTCTCCTCCTTCATGAGCTGCTCGACACGCCACCATTCTGCAAAGTAGTTGAATCCGACCTGATATTCGAGGTGCATGGGGTTTGGAACGGGGTTGGTGGTGAAGGTCGGCGCAAAGTTGTCCTGGCCAGGTACGTATCGATCGATGCCTGCTTGCACAGGTGGAGGTGAAGAGCGTCGTCGGTTGCCGTCCCGTCGCGGTCCATCGTAATCGCGCGCGCGATCAGGCTGGTATCGGTCGATGTTCTGGGGTGAGCGCGATCGTCGCCTGCCTGCCCTACGGTCTCCAGAGCCTTTATCACGCATGTTAGCTTAGTTCAATCATACCACGATCTCGATCCAAGTCGATGTTTGAGGCTGCTGTCCAACAGGCGTAGCATTCAACCGTGTCTGCAGATCGGCCGGAAGAGTGCTTTCCTCGTTGCTAAAGCACGCGCAGTCACTCCGCGCTAGCAGTGCTTGGCAGAACCGGCCGGGAGCAAACACGCGGCGTTATTTCGCGTGACGGTGAAGAGGAAAATCGCCCTCAGTCCAAAGAAGAGACCTAGCTTACCTGGTGAACGGCGTCGGTACGAATCGGCAGGCGGCCTAGAGTCCTCACGCGTAGCACTGTAATCCGTCAGCGTCGCACTTTGCGCATCTCCTTCTGCATAGACATACGTATATGAGTCCATCGCCACGGATTAAAAGCCCCGGAAAGGATTTTGAAGTCACAAGTGTGTGTCGCGAGATCCAGACGGGCAGTCGTGTTCAGGTGTTTCGGAAGGAGTGTGATGAGGCGAGCCTCAGCACTATACGCGTGGTGTTCGCTCGTTCTGACGCGCAATCTCGCCTGGAGTATGCGCTGGGTGGTGGTGGATGCTCGAGAGGCAATCGGAGCGGGTAGCTGTTTGCCATGATGGCTCGGTCAGAGAGAGGACAAGTAAGGGACAAGATGACGGAGAAGGAACGTGATTAGTAACGAGGAGGAAGAAGTAGGTAAGAAGTGACAAGGAGCCGACACGCTCGACGCGATTGATCGCACCCAAGCGGCGGCGCAAGAAGAGAAGGTCAGAGAGGCAGCTGGAGGGAGGCTGGGCGCAGGGCCACGGGGACAAAGCTGTCGGAGCTATGGAGATAGCTGTACAAGAGGAAGAAGGGGTATTACGAACAATGGGCAGCAAAAGGACGAGAAGGTGCACTCACGATGTGCTAAAGTGACTCCCGGGCGGAAAGATGCCTGTGGAGATGGAGATGGCAGAAAGAAGGGTGAGGTTGATCGCGGAGGGCTGGCACGGCTGAGACGGGGCTAGTGCCGGCTGCTCGGAAAGTGGGTCGACGCGTGCGCTCGTGAACTGTCCAGGTCCCACGCCTGATTGGTGTGCCGAAAAACGGGATGCGGAGTACAGGTACAAGACATATTCCATACACTACCTAAGTACCTGTCGCAGGCAACTTTTACCTAGCAGCTGCGTACAAGCATCGTTACCCATCGCCACCATGACGAGCTACATCCCCTCCCTAACCCTCCCCAACTTCGCCTTTGAGAACCCGGCAGTAGCTATCCTACTGCCAGTTCTGTGTGGAACAGCCACAGGATTTGCCATCAGTCGTAGGTCATACGTGTTCTTGTGTCTGTATGGAAACATAACATCGATGCAGCGAGCGTGTCTCAGACAGCATACCGAACGCTGAAGCAGCCTCCACTACACCCACCCGGTTACGTCTTCGGACCAGTATGGACAGCCCTCTATGCCACCATGGGCTACACAGCCTACCGCGCATACACCATTGGTGCCAATTCCGCTAACCCTAACACTGTCGCCTTGGCTAAGGTATGATGATTCCTTGTCTTCCTGGTACTGCTCAAGCTAAGACAACCCAGCACGGAGCGACTCTCTACACTATCCAGCTTGCCTTGAACCTCATGTGGACTCCTCTCTACTTTGGCCTTGGTAAACCTATACCCGCTACAGTCGACATTCTCGCTCTAGGTGGAACTCTCGCCTACCTTATCAGCGTCTGGGGACAGGTTGATCCTACTTGCGGGTGGCTGCTCGCTCCATATCTGGGCTGGGTTAGCTTTGCGACGTATCTTTGCGTGAGTGTTATCCCCTTGTGACATATTTGAGCCGTCGGAAGCTGACATTTGTGGATAGGCCGGGTCAGGCTACCTCAACAACTGGGACTTCAGGGCCATCACTAAGAAAGAGTAGAGAGAATGCTGCAGCGAGTGAATACCAAAATGTGTGCATCTCAAATCTACTTGACTGGTAAGACAGACAACTCTTTATGGGAGATGAGCACGCGGATATATCGCCGTGTCGTTATAAAATGGATATTATAATTTGCCGAGGCTGCATTGTTTCATCACAACGCTAACAGAGCATGTTTATCTTCATGGTATCTGGCACGGACCCTCCAGCGTCTCCTCTGTTCTCTCATGATCACTCTCATCGTTCATCTTGTCCATTCATTGAAACGATCTCTCGTCGTTGCTTTCGTATCATCTCCCTCTCCCCTAACACAATGGAACGTCTTTTGAGGCTGGCGCAACGGTTGTCGACCACAACTACTGGTACGGAGAAGCGCGCCGTACACATATGCAAAACAATTTCGAACGATACCATGTAGGTAATTTCCATTGAACGGACTGCTTTCCAGATCACACTCACTCAGTTCCAGTAACATAGAGGCCTCGCCTTTCTTCCAACTGCCTGCTTCTGTTCGAAAGCGGATATACGGATACGTTCTTGGTGGATTGCAGATCCGGGTCTGTGATACGAAGAACTGCAAGAGATTGCATAGATGTCGTTCCAAGAAGCGGAAACTCAATTGCCCTGCGTACTTCCACCTTCCTAGACGTCGTCTTACACTACTCGCGACCTGTCGTCAGATACATTTGGAAACTATGCTCTTGCCATTTTCTCTCAACGAGTTCGATGGAGACCATTGGGACATTCATCTCGCTGTCTACTATCACCTTACCGATGCTCAGGTGAGCGCTATCACGAATATACGCATTTATCTCGGGAAACTGGATGTACAATACAAGCATAGCTTGAAGAACGAATGTGCAATTACTAAGCTTGGCAGTGATTTGACCTCCACCCTACAAGCCTTAGGTCGACTTCGTGGACTTCGCCAGCTTACTATTGAGTGGACTGGTTGTCATAGTGGGGTGCAGGACTGGCTTACAACGAAGCAGGTGGTATTGGAAATGGCGAAGAAGGAGCTCGAGTGCGTGAAGCGCACTCCTGATATCAAAGTAATCATAGTGGGCTGCTAGTGCTACAACGAGTCTTGAATTGGTGGCTGGAGCCTTGACAGACGAGGCGGCGGATCTGAAGTTTCAGGACAGCCAGCATACAAGCAAACAGGGCATGACGGCAATGACACTGATAGTCTCGCGGCGCTCGCCGGATAGTGGGTTACATTTTCACCAGCATGAGCTTTCAGCTAAGCTCGATAGTACTCTTCAGAACTAGACATAATGCAGTATCTTGCAACTCCCTGCGGAACTTCGCAAGGCCGTCTACGAGTACACGTCTGCGGAAGAGGACCTTGGAATCCATTCGCCAAATATGGATCCCCACTACAGACTCTAGAACTGGTCATATGCGTCATCCAGGCCGCGTACATTACCCGAGACAGTACCTATAACTACTCCTCACTTTCCGTCAAATTCACGCCGAAACCAAACTACTCCTCTTCATCTCAAATTCTTCCAGGGGCAGCCGATTAGATTTGAGCATATAATTCATGGAGGAGAGATCAAGATTCATTTGCTGTTGAACAGCAGTTGGATTTTACTTCGAATTACATGTCGTTACTTTGGTGCAGCTACAAAGCCAGCAAAGAGGCGGTTAGTTCGTATCGTGACGACATAAATTACCTGCAAAATGGATGACGCTCTTCTACTCTCTTACAGACATCGAATGCGAAAGCTTCATGCCCTATCATTATGGTTTTCCCTTTTCCGGCCAGCATCCAACAGGACTGTACGCGTCAAAGTACATAGACAATCACTTCCACCACGATCATGGATACTGCTAGTATTGAGAACAACTACATACACGTGAAACTCTCCAAGAAGAAGGGACTCTATTCTCATATCTGCGGAAGATATATGTTACCAGACAGACATGTCCACGGCTTCTGGTCAGACTCATCATGCCCAGTGAACAGCGTATTTGGGGGCTTCATTCCGGGAGCGTGCGGTCGATACATTTGATTGCAGTACGCGAAAACATTAAACAATTATTATGCACTTTTGATTCTGTGTAGTCTTTCCGCAGGAAACGTCACTGATCTCTCCACTTACCGTGGCTAGCACCTTCCACACCGTCCTTCTTGTTTACCGCCCCACTTTCCTCGCACATGTTCATCAGCGATTACGCAATCTTTTTCCTGAGCTTCTTACTAGTATCACTCTGAACTGCTTGTATCCAAGTACGCCTCTACACTCGCTATGTACTCGCCAACTGTTCCAGAACGTGTACAATACTACGACCGTAGCATCATGCTTATGGATCGCCTCGCAGCAATGTGAGTACAGAATTGGCCTGCCCTGAACGTATACACTATCACTTTGTTGGACCTTACTAGGAGAATTACTACGCATACCTCTAGGGTACATCTTGGTGTAGTACATTCTCATGTACTACCCGCTAACTAGAATATAGCTCACAGCGGAACCATCGAAGGTGCCCCCTCCTCCGTCTACCAGCAGAGCTTCGCAATAAAATATACGAATACGTTTTCCTCTCCCACCCTGTCCGCCCCTTCCGCGAGCATAGGGAGTGGCCCCATTGGGCATACCCTAGGTCGCAGTTGAACCTACTTGAGACGTGTCGTCAAATCTACTTTGAAGCCAAGCTCTTCCCATTCGCCCTCAATGTCTTCGTCGGCTACGCAGAGCAAGTCATCGAGTTGTTGCTTACAACATTCACGGCTTCTCAGACCAACACCATATCTACTGTGCGACTATATGTTGACGCCTTCGGAGTCTATAGAGACGGTAAACTCCCAGAGATCGGACTCAATGCCTGGTTTATCGAAGAACTGGGGGATATGTGTCAGCTCGTTAGCCTAAGCGAGGTGACACTGATCTGGTTTGGCAGTGACATTGAAGTTGTCAGAGAGCATTTGGAGATGGCTGTGTTGTCGATTTTCAAGGAAGCCGGTCGAGCAGACATTAAGATTTCGGTGCGGTACTTTGACTGAGGTATTAAGATTGGAAGATTGAGAAGGGGAAACTCAAGTGTTATGGTAAAGCCGTGATATCTACGTGCATCTGTTATGATATGAGTCAGTTGCATTTATAGAATAATTACCAGCAATCGTGAACACTATATCTGGATCTCACCATGTTACCATCAGAAATCGAGTCCTTTACCGTTCAATTTCGATGCTTCTAGTCACATGTCCAAATAAATGACCACGCTTGATTCAGAGCCCGTGTCCAGGTGGCTAAGACTGAAATATACCTTGTCTTGCGCAGATAGTGCAAGCGCTCTCGGACGCCACGTGACGTAGACCCTGCCAAGAAATTGATGTCGCCTCGCGACTTGTGATTCTTTGTTGCCCCACGCTCTGCTTTAGTAAAACCTCGTCTGCTGTACGCTGATAACTACCCAACGACAATCTCAAGTGACGCTGCAGTGATACTATTGCGCATTACTAACAACCCCAAATCATAGATTTCTCGATCAACTAGTGCAAAATGGTGTCGCGCGACCCACCTCCGTACACGCAAGACCAAATCGCCGCGATGACCTCACCGGAGGAGAAGATACGCGCCATGGCAGAGCTCAAGAGTAGGTATAGGAAGAAGTACTGGCTCAGGAAGATAATGACAATTGGGTGCTAGGCTACATTGTGCGCATGAAGAAAGAGAACGAGCTCAGGTCGAATGGCTACTCTGGCTCTGGTTACCGCAACACCTCCGGCACCTTCAACCACCATGAATCCCCTCATTATCCACGTGGCAGCTATCGCGGCGCTTATCATGGGGGCAGAGGTAGAGGACATACACCATACCATCCCTACTCGCGTCCCTACACCACACCTCACTTTGCGCATAGCTCCGTCGCTGTCAAGGGTACTGGCAATGCTATCCAGTCCCTCAAGGTAAAAGAAGAGGAGGATCTGCCGCAGACAACGACTGATGGCACCGTCTCCTCGTCAAGCGATCACCAGCAGCCCGAGTCACGGAGACTTTGCGCCATATTCACATCCACAGGTATTTCGACGAAACGACAATTTCGGGATCTTTCCTTACCCTTTTGCGCTTCTAACATATGGACAGGTCAATGTTCCCGCCCAGCATGCTACCTTGTTCATGACCCAGACAAACAAGCCGTCTGCAAGCCTTGGTTTTATAAGGATAGTTGTGCTAAAGGAGACTACTGCTCATTGCCTCATGACGCGTCGTCGCACAACGCGCCAACATGTCTTCATTTCCAAGCAGGCCGATGCACCAAGGAAGACTGCCGCTTTGCCCACATTCGTGTCAACCCTACGGCACTGAACTGCGTAGCTTTTGGACGTATGGGCTACTGCGAGAAGGGAGACACCTGCGCCGAGCTGCATGCGCATGAGTGTCCCGATTTCGCTAACACAGGAGACTGTTACTACGGTGAGAGCTGTCGCCTTTCGCACATTCGTCGCGCCACTCGCATGAGGAAAGCCACTCGTGGATCTTCCCCAGCCCACTCTCCTTCGTCAAACTCTCCCGGTACTTCGGACACTCCGGATGAGGGCATGGATACCGCTCAGGACGCTCCAGAGTGGACGATGCCGAAGAATGCAAACCCTCAGACGCCCCAGCAGTTTACCCAACAGGCAGACTTTGTTGCCTTTGAGACAGACGAGTAAGCACGGCCTATCGCTGAACTGGTGATGCCCGGACATGTATGTGCCCCCCTGCTCAGATTCCATGACGGTCCTCCCTAATTCGAGTTTTCCAAAGTTTTGATCCTGCGAGTTTCCGATCTGGTAGGTCCTTGTCATGATTGTTTCTGGCTCATCTTGACTCTTGAAGGTTCGGAGCTTTTCCTGGCGTTTAGGGTTCTTTCGATGATACCCCCTCTCACGATTTCTTGCCTCTTTTGTCTTTTCATCGTTTCTATTCGGGCGCAAGCTCTCATTGATGCCACACGCATATCTTGTGTCCAAAAGCGACGCTTGACGACGCTCGGTGGATTTTTTGCGGAGCTCCCTGAGGTTGTTGTTGGTTTGCTGATGGATATAGTCGTCCTCACAGGACATGTATTTGAAAAGAGAACAGAAAAAAGCATGTAAAGAAAAAGAATGAATGATCTAGACTGAACGAGCTTCTTCTGCCTGTTGTGACCATGCCATGAGGTTGTACATTAGAGACATTTGATAGTCATGTCCATTTGCACTAACGGACGTTCAAACATGGGCGCATCAGTAGCGTCAGGTACCATTATTTCCTGGGGATCAGACACGCCCTAGTGCTGACGCACTCACAGAAGGTCCGGATGGCTTTTAATGTCGTGTGCATTCTGAAAGTAGTCCTGATATAGTTTTACCTCATACATCAATCTCGTACCGGAGCAAAGTTGTACAGTGCTGATTGCTGCGCTTGATGGCAGCGTTGCGTCTGACATATGCGGCGCGCTGTGGAGGCTGAGGGGGCTGCGGCTACTGCTTGGCCCTCGTCCTACAGAGAATCGAGGCGTTCAATTCGACAGCCCGCGCCGGCAGGACCATGAGCGCTTCCACGTTTGCGATGAGTCTACGGAGATATAAGAATACCCTCAGAATTGAATAGCACAGACGGCACGACGCTCGCTCTCTATTGTGTGAGGCTACCCTTGAATATTGTTAGGTCTCCAGCCGCGTACCCCTTGCCTTCGCTGGCAGCGCGAAACTCGACGCGACAGCTCATTTTGCGCAACACCATGGCGCTCAAAGACTTGCTGAAAAAGAAGGATAAGATCAGGGACGAGGGCGCTACTCCCATGTCGCCTACTGGCCCTACCCTGTCTCCTGATGTCCCAGAGTTCCAATTCTTCCGCACCACGACTTCGACGCAAGAAACCATCGAGCCGCCTAGCTTCCCCGGCGATCCCACGCGCGATTCTCCCCTATTGTCGCCCACTTCGAGAGGCAAGTTTGGCAGGTTCAGAAGCCGTAGCAACGCTTCGTCCCAGGGATCGGCGACTGGGCAGCATGATAACAAATTGGCGGAGCGGTTACACTTTGGGCGGAGCAGGTCGAGTAGCTCGATAAACGTACCGGAAAATCTACCAGAAGTAGGAGGCGACGGTGTCGCACGAACAGAAGAAGAAGAGGCCAAATGGGAGACGAGGGCCACGGTGCTGGTCACCGAGGGTTTGCAGCACGGATCTAGTCAGCCCAATACACCAAGCTACGAGCCTACAAGTCCAATGTCACACGGACGACCGACGAGCGCTAGGAGTCGCAGTGGAACTGTCGGTGCACCTGCGGACGAGGTATGCATAACTTCGGAGAGAAGGGCAAATATTGGTCTAAGCTTTGCATAGGAGAACATCCAGGAGGCTATCCGCCTGCACGAGAAAGGAAGTGAGTAGTCACACATGGAGGACTGCCATGATGAAGCTAACAAGATGACTAGATCTTGAGGCTTCCACCGCGCTTTTTGGTAGACTGGCAGAGCCAACCGGCGCAAACAATGCTCTAGCCCAAGTTCTATATGGTCTCGCGTTACGGTAGGTTCAGCGCCATTGCTCGCAGCTTGATATGATCAGAACATACCCAAATATTGCCCTGATATCTGCCCAAGGCATCACTGACTAGAACATAGCCATGGCTGGGGGTGTGTGCCTCACCAGGAACAAGCTGTCCAATACCTATCCATGGCAGCGGCGAACAGTGCTGAGGTCGAGAAGTTGGCCCTTGGGGCCGGCATGAAGAAAGGCGGCGCAGCCAAGGGCGAGCTTGTGCTGGCCATGTATGAGCTCGCAAACTGCTTCCGCAACGGCTGGGGCATCAAGAAAGATCCCGCAGCTGCGAAGCAATACTACGAGACGGCTGCCAACTTGGGTGACACAGATGCAATGAATGAGGTAGCCTGGTGCTATACCGAAGGTTTTGGTACGAAGAAGGATAAGGTAAGCAAGCCATGTCGTCCTCTGCTACCGCCCAACCACCGTTGTCCTGCTGTGTACGACTGCGTCACCGGTCAATGTCGACTCGCCTAGATGTTCATGCGATAGCGACGCGAACGGTCAGCTTGGGGGTCTTGTACAGCCTCGACCTCAGCCATCACGCGTAACATCCACTGAGACACTACTTCCCCTCGTTATCCCGCCTCACTGTTTGGGCAGCACTGAGAGTGTTCGGCTGATGCGGCAGGTATGCTAACTACGCCTTGCCAGTTCAAAGCAGCTCAGTTCCTGCGCCTCGCGGAGTCCAAAGGGAACAAGACGTTAGGCAATACTTGGTAAGTACCATACAGTATTTCCTTCATTGCCTTCTACTATCGACACAAAGAGCGAGAATATACCGGACCGAGGACCACCTTCATGCCGTGTGGATGGAGCACATGGTGGTCACCACGAGCTGCCATCACGTTGACCCGCGCCATCCCGTTCCAGCCGGTGTTGCATCCTCAATCAATTCTCAACACCAAGCCACCATAGCAACCAGACATGATCCAACAATCTAACGCACGGCGCTGCCGTCCGAATCGGTCAACCAGTTTCAACGCGCATCTGCCAAGCATAATCGATTGGCCGTCGACGCACCGTTTTGACTGTCTTCCTTGCTTAGTCGATGCGGACGCCTAGACGGCCCTCGCCCTCACCCGCAGCAGGACCTGTCACACTTACTGCCAGTTCCCCGCTACGCACACATGATGGCATTCGCAAAGAAAAACTTGACCAGTAGCACATTACCCGTTTGGCACAAGCCTCGCTCTCCCATTCCAGTAGTGGGTAGTAGCATGCCTCCAGACCCGTTGTGTTGGGTGAATAGTACATACAAGCTTGTCTACGGGGATACACGTGGCGTGTCGTCGGTGGCCTCGGTTGCGGACCAAAGAGTAAGCGGGATGGTAGCCAATGACGACAGAGTTGCGCATCGTTGTTGTGTGTGTGTGGAGACACAGTCAGATGGTGCATGTTCAGATGGTCTGAGCAAAGCTGGAGATTGAGTTGCATTGATGGCGCGACAATGGTGTATGCTGAAGAGAGACGGGAATTTTTCGTATGACGGCTATCGCGACAATGACGGCAGCCTCGGGACGACTCCCATCATCATTATCATCACCATCACGATCTGGATCTTAGACCGCAGTAGTTTCGGCATCCCGTCGCTTTTGGTCTGGACTGCCTGGATACCGACGATATTTTCATTGATTGGCGGGATGAGCAACGTGCTGACTTGTGTCTCTCTATAGGATCTGGAAGGACAAGTACAATCCCAAATAAGACGCGATCCGCAACCCGCTTTCGGACAACCCCTTCCGTCCCGGTCCGACTTTAGTATAACAAACTTTACCCTGGGAGTCATGAGGATGGTCGTGTGAGAAGAAAGAACCGAAGCGTGGTCCCTTTCCCGCGCGGGGAAGTATTGTTTTTTCTTCGGAACGTATGTTTTGCATAACGTTATTTCCAATAATTCACACCGCTTTTCTGACCTATCATTTGTTTCGCTGTTCTTGGATTTTCCCGTATTTTCCTTCCCCATAATTATTGCCTGGCTCGCGCTATCGTGTTGCTGAGGGTGAGGGAGTATTGACTTTAGTGGCGTAGCTGAGAGACCGTCATCTGGATCTGGGAAACTAAGGTCTTAATGATCCATACAAGGACATGGTCTCTCTCAACACGATAGGCTATGTTTCCGCTTTCAGAACGTGGGGAGCATGTGGTGTGGCACAGCAACGGGCTTGTGTCGTAGTACAGCAACCCGTCTTTTTGGGAAGGTTGTCAGATCAAGCTTAGTGATGGTGTGTGTATCTCATCTTTGTGTGACAGTCAAGACATCGTCCCTCTGATAACCCTCTTTTCGATCAGATCGTCTCTCCTAATGTCCATAAGCAGCACATCGTATGGGCACGATTGTACGGCTAGTAGCCATGTGGTACTAAGCCACTCACATCACTCTTCCCTTCCGACAGTGTACCCTGATTCTCATAACAGGCGGTCCGAATATGAATCATCCATCATCCGCATTCTCTGCTGCATTAGTCCCTCATCCATCATGTTTCACCATAGCTGCAATCCACCTGCACCCAGATCCTGCATACGTGGGGCTGAGCCACCTTTCTTGCTGCGATTGATGACGAATGTTGTCTTACGCCCCACTGAGTGGACTGTGGGCCGATAACTTGCATTTGCATGTTGCAGAAATGCTGGACCCTGTGGTAAATCGGACGATAGGCGTGCTTTCCATCCGGGCCTCACCTTGTAGGACCGGAGTGGGGGATGTGCGTGTTGTAGTTTTTTGTTCTGCGCGAAGGAAGGCTGTGAATAGGTGGCTTGCGCTGGCTCGTTACCAGAATATACCCGCGTGTTCACTAAGCAACTTGAATGGCTGTGCAGTCATGGACACATAAGCGATATGTTATGCACAACGCGGATCAAATGTGAAGGATGCGAAACCCGCTCATAGCGCGTGTGTCTTCCATTGTGGAAGGGTAATCCTTTCATTGACGCTTCGCGCGATGCGAGGTACGCGACAATCAGCCGCACCGTGGGTCTCTGACGGAAAAGCCGCAAGTGGAGAGCTGGGACATGCAGAGGATGCATCACCACAAGTGGGCGCGGGCTGGCGTTGTCAGATGCAAGAGTCTCGAACATGGCAATCAGTGGCGAAGACACAAAGTCAGGATCATTCAAGGGAAGCGATGTAAGCGCTGAAGGAAGGCAATCCGATAGCATTACTTGACTCGTTCGCAACTTCTCTTCGCCCAATAGAACGGCGATAAACACTAAGTACAAGTGACTTTGTTCCCGGTCCATGCCAACCAATCGAGCCTTGCCAGACAAGGCTCTGTGACAAAGGGTCGCAGAAACGGCCGCGCTCAGTGACGCGACAAGGGAAAAACGTGAAAAGCTGGTATCTCAAAAACATCGCGGACGGGAAAGTCCGGAAAGGGGGTATTACGAAAGGTTGTAGCGTGAGCGGTTATCGTGAGAAGGCGTAAAGGTCGTAGTAAAAGTTATGTTAGTCGTAAGAGGAGAGCAGGAAGGGGAAGGAGAAGGGGAAAGCAATCGTCTCTTTCAGCAGTAAAACCAAAAACTTGATCATCATCGTCCTCCTCGCTCAGATACCAGAAACAAGAATGCTGTCAATCTGTCTCGCTCTCATGCCATCATATACAATCGTCGGATACATGTCCCATGTCCTTCGTTTCGATCTCTCTCAATATCTCGTGGTAACGTGAAAGGAAATATCCAACGCTCGCTACGCTTCGCAGTAAATACAAAAGATGATGCCAACCGCAAATGTGTTGCTCGCTAAACCAGTCTGATGCCAAAGGAGAAAACCACAATACAAAAGAAACAAGAGCAAAAAGGTAAATAGGTCAAGTCGTGAACCAGGTCTCGACATGGAAGGAAAACAGCCGCCATGTTATGCTCAAGCGAAGTAGGGTACCTGGTGAGGTTGGCCCGAAATTCGACGTTGCCGTCCCATATTGTAGAAGACTGGCAAGCAGCCAGAGCTGTGGTAGAAAGGAAAAGGGCGGTGCTCATCATGAGCGCTCAAAGGAGAAACGCGCAGGAAGAACAAGGATTCCAGCCGGACCGTGATGCAACTTGTGTCCCTACAAGCACCCCTTGTGTAGGGGTGCGAAGAAGTGAAGCGCTATGCTGATAACCGACGAATGCAACTTGGGAAACTACAAAGGAGAGGTGGTGGTTGGTAACGATAGTGGTGGTGTGCTACTTAGCACTCGACTTTGGTGCCGTCGGATGTACTGGGTCGCGACATGGCAGCAGACTCTTCGACGATGCGCTTGAACTCGTGAACGACCTCGGGGGCGATCTTGTCCCAGAGCAGACTGCGAGTGTAGATCTCGGCAGCAGAGTCACCCTTGCTTTGCTCACGCATGGCGGCGAGGGTCTCGGCAAGGTTGCGACGATGCGAAGGCTGAGAGCCAGGGGACAGGGGATCGCTGAGGTCATCGCTGGTCATGCTGTAGCGCGAGCGAGTAAAGTCGAGAGAGGTCATGCTGTTGTACTGGTCGGGCGTGATGGAGAACAGCTGCTCGTGCTCTTGCTCCTTAGTGGGTCCAGTGAGATGAGAGTGCAGTTGGTCAAGATGCGAGCCAGAGATACCAGCGAGTTCAGAGCCAGACATGGTTGTCTTTGGCCAAGCCATGCCAGAAGGCGTAGGCTCGAGACCAGTGACGTGGCTGGCAATGAGACCTTGCTCGCCCATGGCAGATGACACACCGGCATCCTTGAAGATGCTGTCGAGAACGGTAGCGGAAGCGGCACGGACCTCGTCAGGCATGCGAGGAATGGGAGGCTGAGCGCTACCGGACTTGCTTGCGACAAAGGCACCGCAGAGTAGGAGCATAAGCAGGAGACCAGAAGCGACGGGCTTGTCCTCGTCCTTGTTGCGGGACACAAGAGAAAGTTCTTGGTTCTGCTGGGGAGTGGCCTGGTCGTCGGAAGCGAAGTCGTTGACGAAGATGTAGTTGTCCCAGTCACTGTTGCCCATGTTGAGGTTGTCCATCTCAGAGGCAAAGTCGGTGAAGGTAGAGCTAGGTGCAGCAGCCATGCCGTTGCTAGTAGCAGCCTCGAGGCGTTCAGTAAGGACAGAGACCTTCTTGCGAAGCTCGCCGGTTTCAAGAGTGTGGTTGCGCACAAGCTCCTCCTTGTCGAACTGGAGCTGGTTGACCATGTGGTGCATCTCCATGGACTCGCGGTGCCAGTTCTCCTTCTCAGCAACAAGAGCGTCGTACTCGATGCGCATGGCAGCAAAGTCATCTTGCATCTGGCAGATCTTCTCCATCCACTGCTTCTTCTCCTCTTCAAGCTCCTCGGTGTGCTTCTTCTTTCGTTGCCGGGAGTCGAGACTACGATGATGTTAGCTGATGAACAGGGAGAGGAGAGACCAAAAGGTAGATTGGACCAAACGTGGAGCGTGGAGCCAAGAACCAAATGGGAGTACGTACGCGGCCTGCCTGTTGCGGAGGAGTCGTTTTTGCTGCTTGAGCTCCTTGAGGTCTTCCTCGTTGGTGCAGCTCTGGATGAGGTTGTCGATGTTGACGAGGGTGCGCTCAGCCGGGATGTCGAAGCGGGCGTTCTTCTTCCGGATGCCACCATCACGACGTGGGGAAAAGGAGCGGGGAGGGGTGTTGGGCCTCATTCGCTTGGGTCCGGGTCGTGCGTCCATCTCCTGCTGGTTGAAGGCCATCCAGTCGGAGTGGGTGTGGGGCGACATGGGTTGCTCTGGGGCAGAGGGGAAGACGGCGCTTGGTCGGACATTCTGGTGCACGGGGAGTCCGTGGAAGGGCATCTGCTGCTGCTCGACAAAGGGTGCAGCTCCAAAGTCACCTGGGCCGAAGGGGTTCAGCGGCTTGGGGGCTGTGGGCGTCCTGGAACCAGAGTTGTCGGTCACGGGCCATGACTGCTGGCCGTAGGTAGCAGCTTGGTTGGGTGGTAACCGGGCGAAGGGGTTGTTGCTTTGCTCGGTAAAGAAAGGGTTGTTGCCGTTGGTGTTGACAACAGAGCTGGTGGCAGTGCGGTCGACGAATTGGCCATTTGAAAAGTCCTCCCAGATGGAAGTGTCGGGTGAGAAGATGCCCTGGGTGCTGGTGGTGGGCGACATGAGGACGGGCGTGTCCAGGATGCTAGAGTCGAGAGTGGCGTTGTCGTCAAAGGAAAAGGCGGAAGGTTTCCTGTCGAGAGAGTTCAGTGTCGAATTTGGTCTGTGAAAATCCATGTGATGTGCGTTGTTGGAGTATTGATGGTCCATGGCGGGCCTATGTATCAAAGTACCGGTGTAGGCGCGGGACTGGCGGTGTGGATTGCTCTTTTCGGTAAAGGTGATCGCAGGATGTCCCCAGCGATTGTACTCAACTTCAGCTTTAGATATGTGAAGAACGGGGCAGAAGACGGGCAGCAGAGGCGATGCGCGTCTGAATAGCGAGCGATGTAAAATAGCGGCTCAGTGAGGGTCAGGGTGGTGGACGGTAAAGGTGGGAGAGGGGGCTTAAAGCATGGTGGTAGGCTTCGGGCGGGGTGTGCAGGAAGAAGCAGGCTTGTAGGAGACGACCGGGGTCACGCTTCCGTGGGATGCATCTGGGCACGAAACAGTGCCAGGCCCTGCTGATAGGACGCCCCAATAGCGTCGGGTATTGATGCATCATTCCAGCACTCTTCCCAGCAGCGACTGGCTGGGGTTGTCCTGTCACGCCCGCCATGGGCCCATTCACCCTCCGCACTGATTACCCAGTGTTTGCCCTGGGGCCGTCGCTGCATTGCATGTCGCTGGCTGGTCGGCAGCCGTCTGCCAGAGTGATGCTCTGCCGCCGTTTGTCGCCCGCCCGCTGTCACCCATGTGTATTTCTGGATTCACGGGGCATGCGAATCTGCCATGTCTGTCCTGTCAAGCCAGACACGGCTCTCCGTGTCAAACCAGACATGAGCGCTTGGTACGACAGCTCGGCTGCTGCTCCCGTGCCGCCCCGTGCTTCTGCTGCTGCGCTTCTGCAATGCTGCTGCTCTATCGATACGTAGAGCATGACTGGCTAGTCTGCGCGGGCCGGCCCATATACTGCCATTATTCCACCGGACTGCATCGCGATTCGCCTATACCCTCCTCGGCCGCGCGCCGTGAAAACTCTGCTCGAAAGAGTCAAGATGCAATGCGCGCTTGTCGAAAAATGCCCTCCCGCAACTCTGGGAATTGTTGTTTCGGAATGGTAGCGGCGCATATCGCGACCTTCTGGCGTAATCATCATCATGAGTACTGTCTGCTGAGTACGACGCGGCCCGCCTTAGCCCCGGCCTTTGCTCACTACACTACACACCCCGACCATCATCACAACCACCGCCGACCACTCGTAGCCCGGCACTTGCTCATCACCCGACTCTGATCTCATTTCCCATTTTTGCAGCCCGCCTTCGTTTCCTGAGCAAGGTGAGCCCTCTTGGCCGCCTAGACGGTCTTCATCATGGTGTCATCTGTCCAAGTTCCGGCTCGCTCTGGCGTCCGCGAGTCATCTCACCGCTCCCTGCCCGCACCATGCTTCCCTGTCTATTTTGGCTTTTTGACTACCGTTCCTGTACTTGCGTGCCCGCCCTCGTTATCGTGACCAGTTACCTCGTGCAAGGTACCAAGCGGCCGCCGCTCCGTCTGGCTGGGCTATGGCTCGACTCTGTCGGCGTGCTCATCAAGAGGCAAACACAGCAGCCACAGCCTACCGTCCTGTGCCACCCTCGAGATCCCACTATCCCATCTTACCGAAGGCCTGGAAACTCTCCAGAATTTCCCCGTCCGTCATTGGTCGCTTTTTGGTAATCGCTCTCATGCTTGCTTGTTGCCGCTTTCTCCCATTTCCGCCGAGCAACATCAGACGGTTTGTATCAAGTCTCGCATGACAGCCATAGTAGGCAAAGTATCAAGCTGCCAAATGTCCATCTCCACTGCAATCACCATCTTTGCGCCGTAATACAGCCTCGCTATGGCGGTTTGTGCACCCTGCCCGCGCTGTGCAACGCGTACTGCGGCTACTAAGACATACATCCCTAAGCAAAACTCTACACTTCGCGTCACACCAAGTGAGCGCGCCGTCTTTCGGAAATGGCAACGCGTCACTCTTCCTGTTGACAAGCTAAGCCATCCCGCCGACGCGCAGTACTGCTTCCGGATCGACCGTCGCTGTTGATCCTCTCTACTCCGTGTTATGGCGCGTACTGTGGCACGCGTAACTCGGGGCCAGGGACTGCATACTAGACCAAATGCAATGCTCCACTTATTGTACTCGGATGCTTCCGACTTCTCTACCCTGAGACGAAGGCTTCATATTGACCGGAAACTATTACCGATGCTGATGCATGAGAATCAAACAGACATGATGAGAAACACGATGGAGCCCAATCTCTAGGGCGCATGGCATAAAGGGCCCTAAATTGACGTCGACTAATTGTGGCTGCCAAAAAGGTGAGGCTGTAGCGGTGAAAGGCCCACTCTCCGCATCCGCGCATGGGCCATAACCACTAGAAATCGCCGTCATAGTTATTCTTGTCTGTAGAAAATGTCCACGATCGTTGACGTCTTGGCACCATGCACTGTGTTTTGTTGTTTGAAACCATGAGTCACTCGTCTTTCTCCGCACTCGGCCGTTGCATGGGTGGTGAGGGAAATCACCAAAAGCTCAGAGCGCCGGCCGATGACGGCAAGCGCATGGAAGGCGGTGGAACACCTAGAATTCGAGACCATTGTATCTTCGCTCTGTCGTGGTGGATCTGAAAAACCTGAAACACTTCGCGGGAGCGGTTACACTTCCCGAAGTCCAGTCGGTGGTCCATTATCAAACTAGTCAGTCGGCCGATGTCTAAGAGCAGTCCATCGCAGGTCCTGTCTCGATGTCGATCATCTTGCGGTGAGGAAGAAACATTCTTGAATGTTCTGATCATTGCGGTGAGAGGAGATGCTGCCTTGCTTCGACTTGGATGTGTTTTGGAATTATGGGTAGAGCTGGGTAGAGAAGGTGACGCGATGCCATACTACAGACGGAAGGGTAGCAACATGTCTCCTCTTGTCCGACAAATGCCGAGCGGTCTTCCGTAGTCTCGCGATGATGAGTAGATCACCACTGCGTAAGCCGGGTCGCGTGGTTTTGAGGTATCGGTCCTGTCAAGCGCGCGCGGAGACGGGCAAGGAGCGGTGAGTCTCGAAACTGAAGAAAAGCAGCGAGTGAACATGTAAAGGAGGTTGGAATGAAGTTGAAGGATGACGTTGCACACTCCTAGTTGCGCAACGCACTGTGTATTGGTAGCTCCACGCGCTCGGGAGTACTGGGTATCTCGTTTTGAAGCTATGGACATTCTGTGTTCAACATCGGCGTTCAGGTAGAAAGGGCTAGCACTGACCTTTGTGATTCCATTCAAACTCATGGCCATCGCTCCCCTTGCTTTTATCGCATGCTTGCGGCTGTCGCCGTCAAACATCATGAGCCATAGCGTGGTATGTCAATTCTGGTCTCATATTCCTCCGTTATCGTCTCTAGCCCACAGTTTCACAGTGCGATCTTTACCGCCACTGACGATCCAAGACGCGTCGCTCGTCACATCGGTACTGAAGACAGGGCCAGAGTGACCTTGGAGTGTTTTGCAGTGCGCCCAGTCGTCTGCTGAGAAGATCTGAACGTTTTTGTCAAATCCAGAAGAGATGACAAAGGTAGAAGCTTTTTTTGGTATGAGTTCCCCTTGGCTGTTCTCCTGCAGCGGCACTCCGCTGGCTGGTCCATCCGTACCCTTGAACCATCGTAGGTCGGTGACACCTCCAGTGTTGGCCGCAATTGAGTTTGTCTCTCTCATCGCGCGGACGTCCCAGCACTTCATGAAACCATCTCCTGAACCAGAGAGTAGGCGATGACCATCCGTTGCCCAGTCCAGGCCGTAGATGGGCTTGATGTGGCTCTCCAGCATGTAAATAACACGGCCTGTGCGCACATCCCACACGCGGCCGATACTGTCGAGACCTGCACTTGCAACCAAGGACCCATCGCCGTTGAAGCTCACGGTATAGACTTCCTTGGAATGACCCTCCTGCATGAGGAGCTCTTGTCCGGTGTTGACGTCCCAGAGTCGCCATGTCGTGTCATCGGAAGCTGAGGCCAAGTACCGTCCACAGGGATGGAACGCTACTCTACAGACGCGATCGGTGTGACCTTGGAGAGTGCGAAGGGGCTTGTCGTCGTCTAGTGACCAAAGCTGGATCTTGCCGCCTGCTCCACCAGAAGCGAAATTCACGCTAGAGGTCGAGACGTTGCTGCCCTCAAGTGTCGCGCCTGGCATCCAATCTATGCCAGTTGCGCGCTCCGTATGCCCACCGCGATAGGCTTTCTTCTGTTCCAAACTAGGGATTTCCAGGAGCGCAACTTTTCCACCCCAGGTACCGTATGCGACATACTTGCCGTTGGGTGAGACGCGCACAATACTGACTGGGCGATCTGCGGTTTGCGACCCATAGAGCTCAAAGCCCTTCAGCCGGTCCTTGATGGTGTTGCGGAACTCGACGTGGGTTTTCAGCGGGATGGTAGCTTCGCGACGCTGGTATGCGACGCGCTCCTTTGCGCGGGGTAAAGAGTATTTGGCCATGTCGCGCCGGGCGTCGAGTAGTGATTGTGTGCCTTGTGTATAGAACTCTTCTTGCTCGTCACCAGGCGCCTCGTCTGCATCTTGCATATCCACATCTGCCGCATCCTCACCCAATGCTTCGGCTGCTTCTGCAAGCAGAGCTCGAAGTCGGTCGCGTCGCTCCGAAGGCCCTTCGCCAAACAAGGTGATAGGCTCGCCTCGCGAGCGCAGCTTTGCCTTGACGTCGCGGTCGGCGGTCGGTACGATGAGTTGCGCTGCTCGTCGTTTGCGGTCGAAATCCTCCATGAGGGAATGGGCCGACGCGTTTCCTCCACCGGGCATGGCATGATCGCGGTCAAGGGGCACGCTGGAGAGGTCAATACCCTCCATCGCATCGTCCTACATGCCTGGGTTAGCTCGAATGCGAAGACAAGCTTGCAAGGTAGCTGCGAAGCACGTGAAGCTCCTCGGCCAGTCTCTCGCCGCAAGTCACTGGGTACGTACCGCGCCATTCTCCTCCTCCACATAAGCCTGTCGCGCCGGGTGCATGCTCATCTTGACTGCTTGTCCCGCCGTGGGCAAGGTTGCTGATGCTCGTAGCGAAGTATCTCGAAAAGAAGTTCGGGGCCAGACACG